GTAAACACACCACCAATATTAATACTTTTCCTTCGATAATCCATAACGATAAACTATATGATGATAATGCTGATATAGCAAACATTATGAATGATTTCTTTGCAGATCAGGCAAGAGTAGCTGCTCCTAATATGGATATTCCTGAAATTCGTTTAGAGGTAGATAACCCATTATGTGACTTAACACTCAGTCCGCAAGAAATCCATGATATTCTCTCCTCTGTTGATATCATTAAAGCAACAGGCCCAGATGGTATTGACAATAAATTTCTGAAAATGAATGCTAGACAATTAGCAGTTCCCTTATCTGAAGTTTTTAATCTATCATTAAAAAGAATACAGTGTTTCCTGATATCTGGAAGGAGGCATCAGTTGTTCCTATACACAAAAAAGGCAGTACAAATGAGTGCTCTAACTATCGACCTGTCGCACTAACAAGCTGTGTTGCACAGATTTTCGAAAAATGCATTTTTAAACATGTATTTAATTATTTTAGGGATAATGAAATGCTTACAAACTTACAATCCGGTTTCATGCCAGGCGATTCAACGGTTAATCAACTAACGTACCTGTATGACTTTATAGCGGGTGCATTAGATAGCGGTAAGGAAATTAGGGCTGTATTTTGTGACGTAAGTAAGGCTTTTGACAAGGTCTGGCATAAAGGTATTATACATAAGCTAAGACGTTATGGTATCGGGGGCAACTTGTTGAAATGGTATGAGGGTTATCAATGATATCATTTATGTAAACTAAAAACAGTAATGGCCCAGGGTAGACTGGTTTTACTACTTGACAGTTTACTGCATCGTCAGCCTTACTAGTATACATTTCCCTATTTACTGCATATTACTTCTCTTCCCTCCTTTCTTTTCTTATCCACTGTATGGCAATTCTCTATTTCAACCCCCAATATTTCAAGCCCCTAAACAGTATGTTAATATTTTCCATTATGACTTATGGAAAATTATTTTATGCTGAATTTGCTTTGTATATTTGTTTCGTGTGTTTTGAATATACACACATTGAGCTTGTAAGGGTGAAACTTGCTATCTTGATGAAATGGAAGCAGCAACTATATTACGACTACAGAATTGTACATATTATACCCATATGAGGAATCAAACTCAGGTTTTCTGTGGGAGCAGCAAATGCCATAGTCTCAAGATGAAATCACTGCCCTTCATATCAGTTGATCAATCAATCGATATACATTATCGGCCATTCGGTTGCAAACATATTTCACTTTAATTTTAATACTACAACAAATCTACGTCAAACTTTACCCATTACTAAAAATATTATGGCCACAGACATGACACAGCTATGCCAGCATGGAGACAGACATAACATCATTATGACACCATGGAGACACATAACACCACTATGTCAGCATGGCATCAGGTATAACATCACTATGACAGCATGGCAACAGATATAACATCACTATGCCAGCATGGCATCAGGTATAACACCACTATGCCAGCATGGCAACCGATATAACATCACTATGACAGCATGGCATCACGTATAACACCACTATGCCAGCATGGCAACAGATATAACATCACTATGACAGCATCGCATTAGGTATAACACCACTATGCCAGCATGGCAACAGATATAACATCACTATGACAGCATGGCATCACGTATAACACCACTATGCCGCAGCATGGCAAAGCAGATATAACATCACTGCTTGACAGCATGGCATCAGGTATAACCACTTTCACCATGACAGCATGGCATCAGGTATAACACCACTATGCCAGCATTGCAACAGATATAACATCACTATGACAGCATGGCAACAGATATAACATCACTATGACAGCATGGCATCAGGTATAACACCACTATGACATCATGGCAACAGATATAATACCACTATGACAGCATGGCATCAGGTATAACGCCACTATGTCATCATGGCAACAGATATAATACCACTATGACACAAGGCAATAGGTATAACGCCACTATGTCATCATGGCAACAGATATAATACCACTATGACAGCATGGCATCACGTATAACACCACTATGCCAGCATGGTAACAGATATAACATCACTATGACAGCATGGCAACAGAAATAACATCACTATGACATCATGGCAACAGATATGATACCACTATCTCATCATAGCAACAGATATAAGATCACTATGACACCAAGGCAACAGATATAACATTACTATGACATAATGGCAACAGATATAACATCACTATGGCATCATGGCAACAGACATAACATCACTGTGACACCAAGGCAACAGATATAACATTACTATGACACCAAGGCAACAGATATAACATCACTATGACAGCATGGCAACATATATAACATCACTATGGCATCATGGCAACAGACATAACACCACTATGATATCATGACAACAGATATAAATCATTATGAAATCATGTCAACAGACATAACACTGCTATGACATTATGGAGACAGACATATCATCACTATGACAGCATGGTAATAGGCCTTTGGAAACGTTTCCGTTCCAGCATAGTAATAGGCATTTGGAGGCATTTCCGTTCCAAATTGTATCGTGATACAGCAAATGAAATGTGTTGAAAGTGACAATGTCAAACTCAGTATTAATGTCATTAGCAATATTTAGGATGACATCAGATGCGTTTTCGTTTTCGTTGTTATTTGAGCTTGACTTTGTAAATGTTCATTGATCTTAATGGACAATATCGTCCACTAGTCGTTGACTGTGGGGCTCCTCTGTGTGTTTGCATGCTAATGCGAGAAGAAGAAGAATATTCTGCATTTACTCTTGGCGTTTCAGAAACAATATTTGAAGATCCAGTTCACAAGTTAAGGGTAGTGAAAATGACGTCTCTTGAAGTACAGCAACACAACCAGACAGTACTTCCGACAACCTACAGCCAGGTGACCTCTTAGAGTTTGAACGAGGAATGATCAATCATTGGGCTGTGTATATTGGTAAGTTTAGTGTAACAATATACAAAATCTTTTGTTTGTCTGCTTGTTTCTTGTTGAATGCTGTATCAGCAATAATTGAGATATATCACAGAGGTCTGTAAATAATCACGCTGGCTCAAACAATCCAGTGATTTAAATCATGAGCATCGATCCATGGAATTGTTAGTATTCAAAATAAATAAACCGATTCACGGTAAAACACAGTGAAGTTGTGAATCTAGTATTCCGTCATTCAATGGATATCATAATGCACATGTCCTGCCTGTGAGTTAGAATTGATCCTCAGAGCCCGGCTTGCCCTAAGAGACGACTAACGGGATCAGGCTGTCATGATCGCTGTCATGGTTTATACAACCTTATAATGCTAATCAAAGGATGGTCCGGTCCAGACTCGATTGTTTACCGACAGTCATCATAAAGTAGCATGTGTCCCATTGAACAACGGAGAAACAAACACGATTTGTGAGTCTCAAAACCATATGTGTCAAGGTGTAAATATCTATTCTTTGAGTCTCTTAAAAAGTTTAAACACGTAGATTCTTTATTAACCTGAAGATACCTTTACTGAAAGATTATTTCTTGAACACCAATGCCACATATGATATCATTAAGGTAATAATTTCTGACAATATTGCATAGATATCTGGTAATAATTGTTAATAACGTATTCGCCATGTGTTTTTTAGGCAGCGAGGAAGTCGTGCACTTCCTTGGAGACTGTGGTGGAAGAGACCAGAACCGCCAATGCAAAACGTGTTTCATTTCGACTTAAAGGACTGGTTAGCAAGATGCGTTTTTCGACGTTGTTGGAAACAGCAAAGTGAACAAGAACAACTCAAAGGACACGAAATTAAAGTAAGTTTTGTTTGGTGTTCAATGCAGAGCTCATTTTATTTCCAGCTGTAAGATGGTGTGACATCTATGTAATTGATTCTGGACCAGACAAACCAGTGATTGATACCGTCGTAAGTAAAATTTACTCCTTGTAACGATCCTAGAATAACGGTTCATTTTTTAAATCCTGTAAAACGGTTGATATCTAGTTATTGAGGTCTTTTCATCGTCTTCGTTAGTACCAAGGAATTGAATTCCAAATGATAATATTAGTGTTTTGTTGTTTCCAGACCCTTTAAACAACATGAGATAGTAGAAAGAGCATTGTCCACAGAGCCTCGAGAATATGACATAGCCTTCAAAAACTGCGAACACTTTGCTACATGGTGCAGGTACGGAAAAGGAGAAATTCCTCAGGTTTGTATTTGCAAAACTAGGCTCATTTGTCTTCCACAAGGCTCTGTAAATTGTACTAGAAGATCGACTATTAAAAAAACGTTTAGATCTGCTCAGACAAAAATATTTAACTTGCTACTGGTCACATATACAAAATACATATTTATTGCTTGCTAATGCTGGAGTTATTGTTGCAAAGGTCATGTTGAGGGAGTAAAGCCTACAGATATAAAAAAAAATATCAGTCTCTAAGTCTTCTGGTAGCCAGGTCAGGAAGGTCTTGTACCAAAATGACGTCAACATCAGATGTGGTCAGTCTCTCACTATATAGCAAAATAATATGCCCTTGTTCAATGGTAAAATGTTAATAAAAGTGATATGAACTGATCACCGGATTTTTTGCATCTATAGAAAGCTTTGCAGTACTCCTCCCAGAAGACGACGTCTGGTTTAAAACTATGCATTCTGTTCTTGTATAGGAATATCTTTTCAAGACGTACAAGTTTTCATTAGGGTCCTAGCTTGCATTCTCAAATGAGTATTGCACTTTGTTGTACCCCAGAATACTGCTGAAAGAGGTGCAAAAAGCAACTCACTCACTCACTCACTCTTCATAAAGAAGAGATTGTAGCAGAATTACTTGGGCATCTTATATAAGAATATTGTTAAACACGTATGGATTTGGTTTTGTGTGGGTAAGCCAAGAAGTTGGTAGTGTAAATGATTTTGTATTTATGTTTAAACAAAGACTTGTAGATTCTGAAAAGCAAAATATTTTTAGCAAAATAAATGAATCAGCACATTTATCTTATTACAAATCATTAAAGTCATTACTGGATGTTGAATACTACATTTCTAATGTACATCTAAAGGAATATCGCCGTTATTTATGCTTATTACGTATTCAACAATTGCCTCTGCTATGTAACGTAAGATGTCAAGATGACAGTGGGTTAAGCAAAATATGTCAAATGTGTAACCGTTATAATTTTGAAGATGAATTACATTTTGTACTTGTCTGTGATGCATATGCAAATTTAAGAAGCAAATACCTACCAGAATTTAATTGTCCATCTGTTTTAAGCAAATATCATAAGTTGTTAACATGCAAAGATATTTATTAAACATGCACTATCTAAAAGGAATTCTATCCAATGTTAGAAGAGCCATGTATATATATATATATATCTATGTATATGTTTAAACCATATTGTCTATATATCATATACCACTTTGCATCTATTGTACACGGGCCAATGGCCTATATACCGAAATAAATTCTTCTTCTCCATAAAGAAGAGACGCCAAACGTTTTCCCTTGGGGTCGTAACACATTACCTTTCAAAACAGCCAGAACGTTAACAAACATTCGATGTTTCTTATAGCAAAACCGTAGGACTATAGGACTAAAAGTGTTGTCTGAGATTTGGGCAACGCATTATGAATGTAGTAAACAAATCAAACATCAATCGTTTTCTTTCCTTTAGGCTATCCCTGTGTTTCCTGAACAAGGCGTTGGTTGGCTCGGTTGGTTGGGTGCCGCGTGTTTGCCTTGGAGTTTTGGAAGCAGGAAATAAAGAGAAAAGTGTTTAATTTCAAATACAAAATGGTTGAGAGTAAAACAGAATACATCAATCATTGAAACTGTATATTGTTTTGACAGATGCACCTACATTCCTCACCAATTCAAAAATTCCATTCCGGTAAAGCTAATTGCGATAGTCATATTCCTGTTCATTCGGCTATTCGAAGGATTCCATATTGACAGTTCAGGGACAAGTCTATTTTACCCCCACAAAAGATTCCATCAAGTAAAGTATGAAATAGGTGTCCCCTCACTCAAGCCAGATTCTGTCAAAAGGTTAACATGTTAATAAATATTATTTTTATCTGAAAATGCTGTTTCTTTTTGCTTCATCATTACACACACAACACACACACGCACGCTTTGCATACATCTTAAATAAGTGTCGCTTTGTAGATACAGACTATACCCCTTGAACAAAGGCTCACGCTTCAGTGGCTAATGCTGATTACCTGGTTTGCATCTCTCACCTAGCCATAGTGCAATGTTGTCTTAACAAGAAACCATTTGAAATATGTGAACGCTGTGGCACAAGAATGATAACTCTTATACTGTCTGTGTGTTACAGCAGTAACATGTAAGCTCCAACACCTTGTTTTCAGTATATACCAATCTCATTGTTTATAAAATGACGCTTGTATTCCGAGACATTCGTCACCACTAGCCCTTTTCGTAATCTCCAAGAAACTCGTACCCTATCGATAAATGTTACGCGCGACAAATCAAATTGCTCGTAAGTATTGAAGTACTTCAATAAAAATATTCCTCAGCACTTAAATCGGTTATGACATTGATTGTAAACTGTAATATATTCAGATATGACCAAGATCATATCTAACAGCATTATGTTGCCAATTTCCAAGTTTTTGATAATACTAGGGCTAGGAAGAGTATTCCTCGCCAACTTGTACCATTAGCAAACATTCAAGTCCCAGTCATGCATCTGTTCATTTAGCCTTTCGAAGTATTCATATTGGCAGTTCCGGGACATGTCTTTGGATACTCGCGTCCCTCACAAAAGATTACATCATGTAGTATGAAGGCTGTGAAACAAGAACGGTAACTCGTAACAGTAACATTAAGTTCCTACAACATCTGCTTAGTATATACAAAAACATTGTATGAACACTATATGTGTCAAAAGGCTGTTTGCTTTCCCAGACAGACTTTGGGATCTTGCTACCTTTTGTTTCAATAGGCGACTTCAACCAATTTGGTCATCAAAAATCGGTTCCTTTGCTTATGTCGTGCCCAGCATACACTTATGATGTAAACATTGCTTACTATATCAAACACTGGTTTGACTGCCGAAGTCTCAGGACTCCATGGCAGAGCTGAGTCTTGCAGCGTTTTTAAAACAAAGAAGCTTTTACAAAATTCATTGAAATGAAATGTGTTAATGCTGTAAAGGAAACATAGAATCTTGCTAATTAATGTGGGAAATATAACCCTAGTGCCAGCCATAGTTTTATAATTAGTGTTACGGTTAATAAATTTGCCGTGACAAAAGGTTTAAGAATCCCATTTGAACCAGCAAAATAGAACACAGTCAAGTCTAAAATATAATATAAATTACAAAAAACACACTCTCATAACATTAGCTTAACTGTAATAATAGATAAAGCACTTGAAGGAGGCATGGTGATTGCACACAAGACACTATCATATGACCGTTTAAGTACTTACTGATACTGTTACTGATGGTTTTACGCCGCGTTTAGAAGTATTCCAGCAATATCACGGCGGGGGACAACAGAATTGCCTTCACACATTTTACCCATGTTGGGAATCGAACCCGGGCTTCCGGCGTTTTGAACCATTGGCCACCCGACCGCAACCAATCTGCTTGAAGATTTGACACACATAGTTGTATGGCACATCGGGTAAACCCTAAGTAAACTACGCAAATTTATGTCAACAGAGAACCACACACACAGGACAAGAGCGTTTTCTCCACCATGGAACTCCGTAATGTTGTAGATGGCAATGGCACAACAATATGGATGGCCCTGTCATTAGAAAAGAAATATTTAACACTTCAATCCAAATGAAATAATAATGACCATACTATTAACAAATGAAATAATATTGAATCACAAAACCTGTCAATGTATATCTATGTCATTTATACCTAGAAAATATACTGAGTCAAAAAGAAACTTCACAAAATGTAATTTGAAAAATAATGAATAATTTTTCTCTGATGATACATCTATGTATCCGAAATGGGATCCTATCTTTCGACTCTAGAAAAACGTTAGCAAAACCCACTCAAACCCATCCATTCCTGCGTGCAAATGACGTTGGTGCCAAATCAGGTTTTGCACGTGCAGTCAATCACGTGATCTTCGCATCGAAGTTTTCTTCATATGCACGTGTTTGCATTGGCCTCAAGAATTGAAAAAACACTTTTAAACCACAGTTCTAACGGTACTTGAAATGCCACGATTGTCAAATGTGCAACGTGAACGTGCCGTTGGCATGTTGCAAGCGGGAAGATCAGTTATTGACGTCGCAAGAGCAATGGGATGCAGCCGTCGTACTGTGTATATGACTTGCAGGGTCGTCTACAACAAACTGGCACCACTTCTGATCGTCTAGGTCGGGTCGTCCACGTGTGACGTCACGAGCAGAAGACCGTCAAATCGTCCTACGTCACCTACGTGACAGATTTCTGCCGGCTACACGAACCAGGGCTGAGATGTTTAGAGGTCGACTGTCCTCACAGACCATTCGAAATCGGTTGCGGGCTGCCAATCTCCATTCTCGACGTCCATATCGTGGGCCAATATTGACGCCGTTTCATCAACGTCAACGTCTGCTGTGGGCCCAACGTCACCTCCGATGGACCCAGAGACTGGAATCGAGTCGTCTTTAGCGATGAATCAGGTTTACCCTCAGATTCGCGGACGGCAGGCATAGAGTCTGGAGACGACGTCGTGAACGGTATGCCCAATGTTGTGTACAGGAAGTCGACAGATTCGGGGGCGGAAGTTGCATGGTGTGGGGTGCTTTCTGTGGGAACAACCGTTCCCGACTTCTGGTCATCCGTGGAAACCTCACAGCTGCTGCTTACCGCGACCAGGTGCTCACCCCTGAACTCGTTCCTTTCATGGCGGCTCATGGCCCAGGTCTACAGTTCCAGCATGATAATGCTCGGCCGCATACCGCGATGTTGACACGAAATTTCCTTCAAAACGCTGGAATCAACGTCATGGACTGGCCATCGAGGTCCCCTGACCTTAATCCAATAGAGCACGTTTGGGATGCACTTGGGAGAAGTCTTCGTGGTCTTAGGAACCAACCTCAGAATTTGCAGGAACTTGGCGCTGCCTTGCAAGAGCAATGGCGCAGAATCCCCAACCACGTGTTCACAAGCATCAGGCAGTCGATGAGGAGACGGTGTTTGGCGGTGGTGAATGCGCGGGGCGGCCATACACGATATTGAACTTAGAAATTTCGCATTTTTATTCTTGCGACTTGACATTCTGTATACCCATGTTTTGGAACGGCGGTGTAGCCTAATGGAACTGAGTATGGCACTGTCAGTGTATCGAGTACATCATACAGATCTCAGAAATAAAATAATAACAATTTAACTATCTTACCATCTCTTGTTCTTTTATAGTGCCCTGAAGAAAGAAGTGAAGTTTCTTTTTTTTTGACTCAGTATATGTTTTTCGACATGCGAGTAAACAAGAGCAGTGACATCACAAATGAGGACTTGATCGTAGTGTAGACAGACAAGTAACAACTATTAGCAGTCTATATATTTACCGAACATTCTATTAAACACAAGTTTCTGATGATCATTAATTGATCATTGATAAGTAACACTTTTGATTAGCACCAGTTACTGAACAAATTCAACAATATATCTTATCTTACCTCACACATAAGTGTCGTTTTCTGATTGGCCGAGCCCTCTTTTATTATTTTCAGTGTACCCTGCTTACAAACGATAAACGTTTTATGTTACCCGCTGGGAATGCCGAACTATGGGAGTTCATTTGTTACTTCGTGATAGTAGTGCTTATCTCGAATAATTGAGTCAAGTTTGATGTTTAGCGAATGCATATATAGGTGGAAGGGAGGTAACTCTAAATTATTCTTGTCGTCTGCTAGATTCTATGTCATCTGAAAATCTAGCGATTGTCGGTATTTACTAATTGCTTAACCCTGGTACATCTTATTATGATCCGGTACCGTGCTTCAAACAGTTCCAAATTTACATTGAGGTGTGCGGTAAGATAGATACGCTGTACTATGTTCCCTCGGGGCCTATAGGTTGACACAGAGAACAAACAAACATAGAGGGTACATCAACTCATGCCCCTCGTGTCTAGGACTACAACGATTCGTTTCGATTTATCGAAAATCAAATCTGACACCTTAGTTTCGACTTTTGATAACCATTATCACTAGTTGGATTCGATATTGTAATACCTATTTAAATTCTTTCCACACAGCCAGAACGTAAATTTGACTCCAACTCGAGCAGTTTCGAGCGCTGAAATAATGCGAAACGTGATTGGTTGATTATTATCCAATGAAAATTGTTGTTAGTAGATATCGCCAAGTTGACGATTGATTTCACGCTAAGAAGGTTAACTCTGAGAGCTAAATAAAATCTGATGTTTTACCTGTATGAAGATTCGAATGGAAAATGATCGAATCGAGGGTCCAATATCGAAACTCGAATCGAATCGAGGTCTGGGTGAATCGTTGCAGTCGTACTCCTGATCAGTGAACAACAACTGATAATGTCACGTCAATCACGTCAAGTTGTACATGTGTTACACTGTAAAAGTGCTGAAACCAATATATGCTCATGATGCAGTCACAATTGTACAACCCACTCTGCTTTTAGAAGAGAACTCTTTTGAATGTGAAAAGGGTTTTGTCACTTATTTACTAGGTACTGTTTTGTGAACACCTTAGGTAGTTCATATTAGGACATATTTTCATATTGCATTACTTGAATCTATTTCTTTTAACGCAAGATATTCCTCTGCCACATGTTGAGCATACAAATGGCCATGTAGCTTCTCCCTTTGATGAACACCCCCTGACGTGATTTTGCTTGGACATTGCTAAAAGTGGCGTAAAACCATACTCAATCACTTTGATGAATTATTTTGTTCCGCTTTACAGATGACCGTTTAAAGGTTGTTTATGCAAGCTGACAATGGAAGTCACGCTATTTGCGTCAGGTTGGCATGAAGTAACTATTGTCCTATTGTCAACCTACTAGCAGAGACTTTTATAATGCGATAGTTTGTTCCAACGCAGTTGATTTATCTGACATGCCATGTCAGGATGACTTAACACAGTGTAAGAGGAAGGCCAACTGTGAAGAGCTGCCTTAGGTAGGAGATTTTTATGAAAACGTCAGTGATAGGAAGGAAAATGTTGGTATATTTCGTGATTTGGCACACAATAGTTATAAAGTAGGAAATATAAAATGTGATTCAGAAGATCTATGTTTGTCAGTCGGTATTTGTAAGCTTATAATGAAATTCATATTAATTTAAAGTTAAATATCGGATGTATAGGACCATGCATAATTAGCAAAGTGTTTGTGGTATGTCTTGATTATAAGTGTATTTTAAAACAATGCCTCTGTAATATCCGGGATGAACTGACTAGGAAAAGTTGATGAATGTTAATGGTTGATGTTATTTGATTTGTTATTACACATCCACAGACACAACAAGACGGCAGAGCAATAGACATTACAACACAGTGAGGGGTACGGCACGTTATTACATCACAGCCACTGAACTTCATAAAGAACTGTTACTTTTCACTATTACAAAACCATACAAAGACTCATTTCATTGCCATTTGAGGTGAAAAGGGAAGCCTAGCAGTTAAAGCGTTCGTTCATGACGCCGAAGACCCGTGTTCGATTCCCTACATTGGTACAATGTGTGAAGCACATTTCTCGTGTCCCCAGCCGTGATATTGCTTGAATATTTTTAAACTTGCTCATAGCCCCTGTGTAGGCCAGTTTACTCCCTGTAACAAAGCTCCAGCACACATTTTAAAATCTGTTGTCCATAACCACTACCAGTAAGGCACCCATGAAGGGCCACCTCCTCGTGGTGGGTGCTGGGTCACGCTAAGCGCCCTTCACCCCCGTTGTGGACCCGGGGGGGTATATGGTCCACCAACCCGTTTGCCGTGGGTTGCGCCCCCTGTGTCGGTGGAGGACGGGAGTCTGGTGGTTGAGGGCAATAGGATCCTTGAACCGTGTTCCTTTTGCCCAATACACCACTTCGACCCTTACTTCACCTAGACGGGTGGTTGAATGGGCCCGGTTCAACCAATCGGCTGGTCATGTCGAGCCCTGTGCATCAATTGTATTTGCACAAATTATATTCTGAACAATATGTTTGACTTTAGGTTTTGGCTCATTTTTGTTTCTAAAATATCACTTAATTTTGAATTATGCCCTATTTCACTTGCCTAGAGTCTTATGCCCAGAAGGCGATGGCTCATGGGCCAATCTGGTAGATTGATTACTTGTTTAATCTTTCTGCTTGAGTATATCATCCCAGTATCCTTGGTGCTGCATGTCGGAGATCCACTTGTGTATAGCATCGTCTTTATGACACTCCGTGGTGGGTGGGGAGCTGGGTTGATGAATCTTTTATACTTAAACATGGCTTTTGAAACCCCCTTGAAAAAAAGCGTCAACTTGACAATGATCATATGAGGCTAATGAAGGCTGTCGACCTCTTAAACAAGTTGAGTACTGGCCGAGATTTCTGGTTCTAGAATCTCCAGACAAGCAACCTATAAAATTGAATCCATTTGCGATTTCAAAAGGAGTGTATGGTATAGCCGGTGATGTGAAGAATATCAAACGTATGAGGTCCGGATCACTTTTAATCGAGTGTGCCAAAAGACACCAAGCTAACAACTTACTATCTGTTGACACATTGGCTGGAGTTCCCGTTTCAGTATCTGTCCATAGGTCACTTAATTCAAGCAAAGGCATTGTAAAAGACCGTGATCACCTCCTAGATGATATGTCCGAGCTTGACATAGTTTGTGAATTAAAAGATCAGGGTGTGACACATGTGAAACGTTTTACTCGGCGTCAAAACTCAGCAATAATTCAAACCAACACTTACTTGTTCTCCTTTGTCTCTCCGTCTCCACCACGAACTATCAAAGCAGGTTATTGCAGCCTTGCAGTCGACCAATATATCCCAAACCCACTGAGGTGTTTTAAATGCCAAAAGTTTGGTCATGGGGTAAATTCATGCAAAAAATTCAATTACTTGTGCTCATTGTGGTGAGAAAACACATGTTACCGAAGATTGCGAAAGCACCCGTAAAAAAAATGTGTCAACTGTTCTGGACAGCATTCATCCTCATCGAAAGATTGTCCAATATGGAAGAGAGAAATGGAGATTAGTAAAATCAAAACTACTCAGAACATTAGTTACCATGAAGCAAGGAAACTCGTGCCTTCCTGTGATCCACATGGTTCCTATGCCTCTGTAACCAGAAGACCATCTGTGGTAACAACTTCTATTGCTTGTCAAACAGATTTGACATGGATAAATTCCATCAATCCTGAACCCCTCTGTCTGTCGGATTCCTGCACTCAAACTATTGCTGAGCCTTTTCCAGCTGAACTGTTTCCTGAATCGTCATCGGCTGCTTCTGTACAACCAACTCCACGAACAGGGTCACAAAATGATTCAGCACCGAATCCACAATCCAAGAAAGGGAAAAATGCGTTATCCAGATGTAAAACTGACTCTTCTCGGAACAATGACACGGGTAGAGTATCCAAAGGTTCAGATGATCCCATACAACTTTATAATAAGTTTGGATCGCTTGAAGGGATGGATGTTTCAGAGAGCATCCCTCAGAGAACAACAAGTTTGTCGCCTAAACGTAATGGGCGAGCGCGATCTCCAGTTAATCCGCCTAAGAGATGATTAGTTCTCAACCTTTGATTCAGTGGAATTGTAGAGGACTGAAGAATAACTTTAATGAAATACAATTACTCATACAAGATCTTCAACCGTCAGCATTCTGTCTTCAAGAGACTTATTTAAAACATACAGATGTCTTTAACCTCAGACAGTACAACGATTACCACTCCTTTTTCTCCTCTGGGAGATAAAGCAACTGGAGGTGCTTCAATTTTAGTGCGGCAGGGTATAATACATAGCCTAGTCCCTCTTCATACCAATCTCCAAACTGTAGCTGTTCGCTTGACCCTGCACACTGCTATAACGCTGTGCAGCTTGTATATTCCTCCTTCTTCTAATCTTCAACAATCAGATCTTCAAAATCTGTATGATCAACTTCCTAAACCATGTCTCATCATGGGCGATCTGAATGGACACAACCCGCTTTGGGGAAGTGTCCACACTAATACTAAAGGTAAAATCCTTGAGGAATTTATTGCTGATAACAATTTGTGTATTTTAAATGATGATTCAGTCACATATTTGCATCCAGCTACGGGAACATATTCTTCCCTGGATCTGTCTCTCGCTGACTCAAACTTGTATAATGAATTTGAATGGATGGTCCATGATGACCTATGTGGGAGTGACCACTTCCCTACCATTCTCAAAACAATCAACCCTGGTGATGATCCACCTTTGTCAAGGAGAAATTTCGCCAGGGCTGATTGGTCATTATATGCGACTCTGTGTGTTGAACACTTGAAGCATGATCTTTTTAGGAACAGTGAAGATCCTATACAGTCTTTTTCGGATATACTAAATCACATTGCTGACAAAACAATTCCTAAGTCCTCTGCAGTTCCACATATTCGTAAACCATGGTTTAATAATGAATGCAAACAGGCCAGAAAATGTAGGAAGAAGGCCGAAAAGTATTTTCGCAAACACCCTACTGTCCATAATCTAGACAAAGTCATAATTACTAATGCTAAGGCTAGACGTTCTTTTAAACAAAATAAGCGTCAATCTTGGCGAAATTATGTTTCTAAATTAAATTCACGTACACCTATGTCAAAGGTGTGGAACATGATCCAAAGAATAAAGGGCAAAGGTTCCAAATCTACTGTTCATCATTTGAAGGACGGTGATAATTTATTTACTAATAAAACTGACATTGCAAATAAACTTGGTGAAACTCTTGCCAAGCATTCATCTTCATCGAATTATGTCCCTGAGTTTCAAAAGTATCAGAAACAA